CGGCGGGGCCATGCCCCCGACTCCCGGTGCGGCGGCACCCATATCCCACACCTGCTGGGCAAGCAGCAGCAGGGTAAGTGGCGGCCTATGCCCTGTTGCTGCTAGCCCCCTTTTGCCTGGAGCAAGTGGTGCCTGCATCGTGCCTCCACCCTGGCACCCCAGCTTGGCAAGAAGCAGCAGGGCATAGTTTCCACTCTCAGCGCTGCCCTGCCCCCACCCCCACGACAACATACTTACTAGCTGGAGGCAGCTTTGTCCAGTGTAGTGAGGACTGTTGCCTGTTTAGTCTATGGCCAAATCTCCGAAGTGGTGCAGAATCTTCAGATCTGATTCGGCTGAATTGAAACGGGACAGTGATTTGAATCTCCAAATCAAATCACTGTCCCTCCAAGTTGGCCAAATCCAAATCCGTAGTAAATACTTGCTGCTTCGCACAGGCCTACTGAGCTGCGTCTTTCTTTCCTATTTCCAGTTGTTCCTATTTCTTCACCAGCCTTAAATGTCTAGCAGACAACACCAAATGGGGATGCAAACCATTCACCCAGAATCTCTGTCTCCCCCTCTCTCAGCCAGTCGCATATAATTTGTGCTGCCCCACTCTGCAGTGGAGATGGACCAAGTTGCCCTGAACCTCATCTGCATATAAATTTTTGCAGGATCCCAGGACTCATGACAAGAACACCTGGTTCCACTTACGAGTGCAGGGCTAAATAACATGTAGATCCTTTGTAGTGGGTATCTGGAGTACACACACACACACACACACACACACACACACAGCAGTGGGGTCACCATGGCTTGAAACATTGTTGATTCTACTGAAGCCCAGCCCAATGAACTATACGGTAAATCATGAACCTTTTAGCTTTGGACTAAGCTCACGCAGAGTTTATACTGTATACAAGTTGGTATAGACATAAAAGTGTGTCTACAGAATACCTATGCTAAACTTGTAGCAGTTTCAAAAAAGGTAAAATGCATCACCTCTGGAAGAGTTAAGCCTATGGTACCTATTAATAATTTGCCTATATGCAAATTATTAGAGGTATGTTTATTTGGCAGTCGTATGCTCAGGGAAAGCAGGGTCTGACAGTAAGTGCGGTAGAAGAAGTTGGGGGGCAGAGAGCAAGAGGGCTACTTTACCCCAACAAGATTTCTTTTCCCTGCTGTAGCACTGGGAAGGGGAGAAATTCAAGGCAAACATCCAGTAATTCAGTTCTATACCTGGGGAATTGTAACATATATATGTCTTCCATATATAGCATCTAATTATTAGTAGGCTGTCTTATATTCAAGTAAATGCAGTACGTGGGGGTGTGTAACAAACACAAGCGCCTCTCTGCACTCTCCCACATAATCATATACACAGAAAAAAAAAAACCCACTAGTGAGAAACTTTCTTGGGATGTAAAAGCCTTAAATGAGGTATATTCTCTTAACGCCAATTTACAGGGATGTCGGCCCCAAATGGCAACAGGAGAAGCCAAAGAAATCTAAGCCTCAAACACTTAGCACTGCATCTATATTATAACAGAGTTCTCCCCTTGATACTATTGCTGACACTGACTACGCACCACAGAGCTTCATTCTGTGACCTTCCAATGAGTATGCAAGGAGAGTTAATAATGCTTCAAGCAGCATGAACTTTCGTCGTGCCAATGCATATTCCATTCAGATTCTTATCCTGTGACTATCACCGTAAAAGAGTGCGTCGGGTACAAAGTTTTCCCAAAGGAAATGTACTGCCCTTCTTTGGTTTCCTAATTCTAATTCCCCAAAATAACTGGCAACATTACCCTTTTTCACAAGGCCAAAGATGGATAAAAGATGCTACGATCACAGCATATACATAAAGGGAAAAGAAACTTCTCTACATAATTGCCCTTCCTCTTGGCAGGGTTTTTAAAGATTTTTTTATGTGCATTTATGCCCTTCCATATCATACAGCCAGAAAAAGAGGGGGCTAGAAAAAAAGATTTAGGTGCTCTCTAGCCACATTTCACTTGACTTTTGACTACATAAAAAAAGAACCCCATAGTATCCTGGTAAGTCCAACAAAAGTGGAATTCTCCATTAATAGTATGTTTAGGTGACAGAGGGTTTTTTTCAAAAAAGATGAGGGGAGTGTGAAAGCAAATACAGCAACTGTCTGCATTCTGTGCGATTCTAATTAGTAATTAAAAAGTGCATCCACCACAAAGATTTGAAAACCTGGAGCTTTAACTATGCATATGTACAACATTAATCTCTTTACTGGACAATTTGTTCATTTGTTTTAGTACTGTACTTCTTGTTTAACTGATGTTAAAGAGAGAACCTGTATAAGCTTACTGGTTTGGGCCCTACATTTAAAGTTCCTAACAACAAAATATCAATGTTTTCAAAAAAGCAGAAGAAACTAAGTAAAATAAGACAATGATGTAACATTCCAGGTAAGAAGGTAAGAGTCATCATAACTGTTATCTTGGATAATACACTGCAAACTAACATACTAAGAATTCTTTTAAAATAAGAGTCCTCCAACCATGTAATTTCTGCTTTAAGAAGAAATATTAATTCTTTACCATTTTTTCATACCATACAGCATGAAGACCTAATGAAATGCTAATAAAATCTAATCTTGTTTTCCCACTATCCAAATCTTATAAACTACACAAAAGATAATAATGTCTAATTTACATATTTCACTAAAAAGAAAAACTTGAAAAAAATGGTGAAATAACTGTAATTCAGCACTTTCATCAATCATCATTTTAACACTAACTCTGGAACAAATCCTGAAGTGGTATAAACCAGTTTATTTCAGTGAACCTTTGACAACTAAAGATCTGTCTCCTCAGCTTTGAAATCAGATACAAATACTATTCAGGATGCGTCTATCCCACTATTTCCTTCCCAACCCAAACAAAACTTTCACTGAATTTTCGAACTGTATTTTAAAGTATTCAGATGAACAGCACTTAAGTATTTAGGATGATGACAGGTTGTCCATCTCATCAGCCAACAAACACTAAATTATTTTGGCAAAAATGTCAGAAAGTTATTTTAATGTGAAAGCATTTCAGATAATATAATGTCATAAAGATGACAGCAGACAGATTCAATCTGCTTCCATTCCTCGAATATAATGT